TCTCTCTCTGCCCCTCCCCTGCTCACACTGTCTCTCTCCCTCTCAAAAATAAACATTAAAAAAAAATTAAATAAAAATAGGCTGAGGACTTGAACAGACATTTTCCCAAAGAAGACATACAGATGGCCAACAGACACATGAAAGGATGCTCAGTATCACTCATCATCAGGGAAATGCAAATCCAAACGACAATTAGGTATCACCTCACACCTTTCAGAGTGACTAAAATCAAAAAGACAAGAAATAACGAGTGTGGGTGAAGATGGGGAGAAACGGGAACCCTCCTGCACTGTTGGTGGGAATGCAAACTGGGGCAGGCACTGTGGAAAACAGTATGGAGGTTCCTCAACAGATGAAAAATAGAACTACCCTATGACGCAACTCTTTCTAGCCTTTATCTGAAGAAAATGAAAACACTAACTTCAAAAGACCTATGTGGCCCCAGGTTCACGGCAGCATCATCTACAATAGTGAAGGCATGGAAACCAGCCCAGGTGTCCGTCGATAGATGAATGGATAAAGTAGAGGTGATATATACATACAAGGGAATATTACTCCACCATAAATAAGAATGAAGTCTTGCCATTGGTGGCAACATGGATAGACCCAGAGGGTACTGTGCTAAGTGAAAAGTCTGAGAAACACCAATACTGTGTTATTTCACTTATATGTGGAATCAAAAAAAAAAAAAGAAAAGAAAAGAAAAAACAAACAAAACAGACTCATAAATATAGAGAACAAAGTGGTAGCTAACAGGTGGGGCGGGGGGTGGAATGGGTGAAACAGGTAAAGGGGATTAAGAGGTACAAACTTCCAATTATAAAAGAAGTAAGTCGCAGAGATGATCAAGTCCAGCATAAGAAATACAGTCAGTAATACTATTATAACTGTGTATGATGACAGATGGTGACTAGACTTATTACAATGAGCATTTTGTGATATATATAAATGTCAAATCAAGATCAAATCACTATGTTATACACCCGAAGCCAATGTAACACTGTCCAACTATTCCTCAATTAAACACCAAACAAAACAAGCTAAAACAGTCTGTGGTTTAGGAGAGTCTATTACCACCACTGCAAGTGAGCAAGCATGTGTCTTACTGCTCTTGACCAAATGGTACCTTCTAGCGGCCCCAATGAGCACCATGAACAGGAGTAAATATTACTAAATATAATCATCCAGAATATATCACTTCATTAATTTAATTCATATTACACTACCAAAACTTGTAACAGAAATTTTTAAATAAATGCCACCCATACACACACACACACACACACACACACACACACACACACTCACTCATTCACTCACTCACTCACTCACTCACTCATTTTGCCCCTTACCTAAAGACCTGCAGACTGAAACAGTTGCTTCCTCCAAGAGCTTCAGCTCGGTGCTGGAGGGAGAGAAGAAAAGGTAATTAATAACTACAATGCTAAATAGGTACACACTGACCAGTTAAAGGAATAAATAAAATAAAGAGGAGAAAAACAATTTAGAAGGAAAATAGGATGTACCATGATAAACAATAAAATCACAAATTTTATTGGGTGGCTCAGTTGGTTAAATATCTGACTCCAGCTCAGGTCATGATCTCATTTTGTGGGTTCAAGCCCCAAGTCGGGCTCTGTGCTGACAGCTCAGAGCCTGGAGCCTGCTTCAGATTCTGTGTCTCCCTCTCTCTCTGCCCCTCCCCCGCTTGCACTTGGTCTCTCAAAATAAATAAAAACATTAAAAAAAAAATAAAAAGACAAAATGAAGTTAAGCTTCTGTTTTCGACATAATTAGAAAATGTACTCAGAGAGTACCAATCATGGGGTTAGAGTTATTTGAAAAAAAATGCCATTATTTTTAGGAGAAACATGAAGTCTCATGATACCTGCAATACCTTTAAATAGATCAACAAATAAAGGAAGAAACAAGGCAAGAAAAGCACGAGAACACATACATAAGCTTCAATAATTTATAAACAAAGAAAAACAGAAACACACAGAGATAGATATGAGTGACACGGAGACAGGAGGCACAGACAGAAACAGACATAAAACTCGGAAAAAAACACAGGGGAAAGTTTTATGACACTGGATTAGGCAATGATTTCTTGGATATGATACCAAAAACACAGACATTAAAAGAAAAAAATATGTAAGTTTGACTTTATCAAAATGAAAAGCTTTTGCGTATCAAAAGATACTATCTCAGGGTGAAAAGCCAACACAGCAGAATGGGAGAAAATGTTTGCAAATCATCTATCTGATAAGAGACTGATATCCAGAATATACCAAAACAAAAACAAAAACCTCTGACTCAACAAAAAACCAAACAACTCAATTTAAAAATGGGCAAAACTTTAAAGAGACATTTCTCCAAAGAAGACATACAAAAGGCAATAGGTATATAAAAAGATGTGCAACAACACGATTCATCAGGGAAATGCAAATCAAAACCACAATGAGATACTGTTTTCACATCTATTAAAATGGCTACTTAAAAAAAAAAAAAGGAGAGGGAGAAGGTAAGTGTTGGAGGAGATATAGAGAAATGGGGACCTTCGTGCATTATGTAAAATGGTGCTGGTGCTTTGAAACAGAGTATGGCAATTCAGCAAAACGTTAAATATAAAATTACTGTGTGATCCAGCAATTCCATTTCTGGGTATACAGATACCCAAAAAGGACTGAAAGCAGGGACTCAACCTGATATCTGCACATCACATTCACCATCACTCATAACAGCCAAAAGTAGAAACAATCAAAATGTCCATCAATGGGTGAATCACGGTACAAAATGTGGTACATTCACACAGTGTAACATCATTCAGCCTTAAAAAGGAAAGAAATTCTAACACGTGCTACAACACAGATGAACCTTGAAGACATTATGCTGAGTGACACAAACCAGCCACAAAAAAAGAAATACTGTATGATTCCACTGATAGAAGGCCCCTGGAGTAGTCAGATTCAGAGAGACAGAACGGCAGTTAGTGGCGCTGAAGGTGGGGGGAATGGGGAGTTAGTGTTTAATGAGTCGGGTTTCAGTCTGGGAAGATGAAAAGTTCTGGAGACGGATGGTGGGTCAAACAACAATGCAAGTGTATTTAATGTCATAGAAGCACACACTTAAAAATGGTTAAGGTGATCAATTTTATGTTGTGTTTTGCCACAATTAAAAAAAAAAAAAGTGCATTCCAATTCCAGCTCAACTACTTACCAGCTACGTGACTTTGGACTAATTTCTTAACCCTTTATGTCTTAGTTTCCTTCTATATAAAACAGAGATGATAAATAATTGTACCTGCTCCAAAAGACAGCGTTATCATTAAATTACATAATATGTTATGAAGTGCTTGGAACAGTATCTGGCACAGAGTAAAACCTAATAAATGATCGCTATTTTTGATTCCAAAATGTAGTGGGTTCCTCCCTCCCCCGGTTAATTAAAATAATGCTTTATGTTATATTTTTCAAAGCACTTTAAAATTTATTAGTACATTTAAATCCCATGACAACCTCTTCTTTTTTTTTTTTTTT